CTGGTGCTTGCCGTGTTAAACCTGGTGTTTACAGTGTTAAACCTGGTGCTTGCCGTATTAAACCTGGTGCTTGCCGTGTTAATCCGGGTGTTTACCGTGTTAAACCTGGTGCTTACCGTGTTAAACCTGGTGCTTGCCGTGTTAAACCTGGTGCTTGCCGTGTTAAACCTGGTGCTTGCCGTGTTAAACCTGGTGCTTGCCGTGTTAATCCTGGTGCTTGCAGTGTTAAACCTGGTGCTTGCCGTGTTAAACCTGGTGCTTGCCGTGTTAAACCTGGTGCTTACCGTGTTAAACTTGGTGTTTATTCTGTTAAACCTGGTGTTTATTGTGTTAAACCTGGTGTTTACCGTGTTAAACCTGGTGTTTACCGTGTTAAACCTGGTGTTTACCGTGTTAAACCTGGTGTTTACCGTTTTAAACCTGGTGTTTACCGTGTTAATCCTGGTGTTTACCGTGTTAAACCTGGTGTTTACCGTGTTAAACCTGGTGCTTACCGTGTTAAACCTGGTGTTTACCGTGTTAAACCTGGTGCTTACCGTGTTAAACCTGGTGTTTACCGTGCTAAACCTGGTGTTTACCGTGTTAAACCTGGTCCTTGCCGTGTTAAACCTGGTGCCATCAACGGGCATCTCTGCGTGTCGTGCGGTTATATTGGCCGTGTTGAACTTTTACGACATCAAAACTGCATAGTTTTGATGATAGACCTAGGCTGGCCAGAGACGGGGCATGGTCTGTGCTGGAATAAGTGTCAACCCTCGTTCCGCCCCGTCCGCCACAACGCCCCTCACGCATCCACCGCGTGTCACAGAGACAAAGATTCCCCTTATATAGCTGTGCACACTGATAGGACAAGTGCTTTTTTGCGAGCACCTATTAAGGTCAGGATAACGTACTGGGGGAGAAGGGGGGCGGCGGCGGTCAACACCACGCCCGGCCGCCTTTGTCTTCCCATTGCTTATGCGCAAACTCTCCACACAAAGACAAATATCCCACGTGTAGCCACAATAGACTGTTGTTATGAAAGCAAGCAAGGTACCAGAACCATGCCCGACTGCCTTTGTCACCCCAGCGGTGACGTTTATACACCGCACCAGGTACTAATTTGAGGCTGAGTCGACCTAGGGGAGACCCAGGACCGGTTCAGATATTCGCCATTGGTTGTTGGTGGCCGTGAGCGGGAATCGAACTTAGATAACCGGGCTCGTAAGCGCAACACGCTAACCGCTACACTACCGCTCCCCACTTATACTCACCACGCCAGGTACAGCACAAACACTCATTTGAGGCCGAGTAGAACTTGGGGAGGTCCAAAAACGCTGCAGATATTCGCTACTGGCGTTATCGCTTTTTTGGTCGGTAATCAAACTCGGGCTGGCTGAGGCTCGTAGCGGAGTGCGCTAACCACTGCGCCACCGCTCCCTCTCACACCTGCACATAGGCGGAGTTCGACTTCTATATTTGGGGGGGGGGAGGCAGGGGTTCGCTTTGTTTCTCACATTAGGAATCGCGGGTGGATACGATTAATTAATAATCTTAATTGTAAACTACTGGAAATAAATTAATAAAGGTGACCACTTTGAGCGTGGGGAGGGGTGGGGGAGGCGTTAAGAGTTAGAGCTCAGAACCCGCGGAGTTGTGGGCCAGTAAGGGTCTCGCGGGGCTGGTGTTACAACCCCTGCCTGTCCATCGAAGCCAGCCAAAGTGGTCTCCTGCTGTTCGAATGAGTAATTGTTCATCTCCTGTTTACAGTCCTGACCTAGTAAGCGGAGCATTCCACATCTGTGTGCGGCCGGGGTGGGTCTATCCGTAGGGCAACCATTGTTGACTTTTCCCACAAAGCGGTACCTATTTTTTGTCGAACCCGGAGGTGATGGGTGATGGGCTGAGTCAACCTTCAGCCAGGATTTGAACGCGCAACCTTTCCAATTGTGGGCCGCTTCCTCCACCGTTGAGCCACCTGGCTGAATTACCCATCCACTTTAAACATCCTGGGCCGCCCATGCAAATTACATTTTCCATCTCACGGGATATTCCAGTTGACATTGTTTTAATGAATACCGTACATGAAAAATAACCGGTCTCTGTACAAGTGTAAACAATAAGTATGCATAAAACAAGAATCTGAACATTTCAAATCCATTCTAGTGCAATCAGAAACGAAGAACGTGGCCATTCTGTCACGGGGTTGTGCATGGAAAGACGTAATTCAGGCAGAGCCACCACCGCGTTCAGATGCACAATGAACCCTCAATGAAAACGAACGCAAAGTTTACTTTGACAGCGAATGATCGTGGGAAATGCAAAACGTTCCGAAGCTATTTACGTGCGACAGCCAGAAACATCGGGGCCCTTTTGAAACTTTCCAACAATAAAATAGCGTGGCAACTGCAAGCCAGAAACTTTGCCCAGAAGTGTTACAGAGAACAGCCCGACTATACAAACAAGAGCCATTTGTTTGAGACAACATTTTTTTCGAGACAACATTGGCAGCGTCGAGAATGTGCACTTTGTTCCCGGGGCAGCTCACACCTCTCCCAATCAATGGGGATTCTCAGTGGCAGTGAAGGATATCAGCTCGCACAATCAGCCTACAGTGAGAGGGAGGCTCAGCAGCTTACAGGGCCAGCACCTGCGTCTCAACAACTGAGCTTACACTGATAAGAAACCCAAGTTTCAATGCGATGCTTTCTATTCTTTTACCCGGTAAACCCCACTGAACGATACAGCTCTTTCTCAGACGCGACTTGGCTACAAATGATAACTCAACGAAGTGGCTTATCAATCGGACATTTATAGCAGCCAAATACTCTAAACGCGTGTTTCTAAATGTGGAGGGAAACCCCGGAGGACCCGGAGAAAAATCCACGCGACAACGTGGAGAACATGCAAACTCCAAATATACAGCAGCAGGCGTCAGGGTCGGGTTCGAACCCACGACCTCCTCCTATATACCAGGCGAGGTAGTTAACATCTCGCTACCGTGGCGCGCCTTCACGTCTGATTAGGCCTGGTTCTCGAATGCAGCAAACTTATGATCTCAGCCCGATTGCCAATGGATGTAACCAATGGCGCAGCCAGGATTTTCAGTTAGGGGGGGCAACCCCTCTAGCAATGAAAAATGAGAGAGGAGTTGTTAGTAAGTAAGGACTTGTTAGTGAGTAAGGAGTTGTTAGTAAGTAAGGAGTTGTTAGTCAAGTAAGGACTTGTTCCTTGCTTTTTATTCGACGCGTGTGCGGCGATGACGCAGCCATCGATCGAGGGTCGAATTCGAACCGCGTTGTGTGATCGGTATCGTGCTCGCTGAAGGGAAGTCGTGTACTCTATACGCAACCGAGCACAATTCTGTGAGTCACTTATAACTGCTTTGTCGTTACTTATTGCCAATTATGGACTCAGACTATTGTCCTATCATCTCATATAGTCCCTGGCACGTCATAATATGCTACACAGTGGCAGTGGGGGTCGCAAAATGCCAATTTATTACTAATAAACCCCAATGATATCCCCCCCCCCATTGGCTAGCCCAGTGGCTGTAACCAAGTAATTATCACGAATTCTGTAAATGCTTTCTAAACATACATGAGTCCTCACGCATATCCATTTATCGATAACAGCACTGTGTTTCAAGATGCACATCGAAGTGGTGTCATATTGCGCGTGCCGCGTGACGGTGCGAGATGACGCCAATGCACCATCACGGCAAAGGATCATCCTCATAGCGCTGGCTTTGTTGGGCAACAATTTTCGGCGACCCTTCCATTAATAGGGCGAGTCTTCCGTGAAATGTCCCTCTTGGCAACTCAACCGTTCGTCCAACCGTTCGTGTTGGATCATCTTGACGAGAGGTGTCGTGCCCTCCCGCCACACAACAGCAGAGTGCTAATATTCATGAACGCTTTCAACCTTCGTTAAAAAAAATTTTGAAACAAATCACGTCACCCGTTTGGTTAATTCCATCTCCGGGCACTAAGACGTAAAAGAAAACCCTCAGCGAGTGCTGCAGTGGAGCATTCTGGGGGTAATAAATGAGCTTTCCTTTACATATCTCAGCACCCATGTGAATTCTATTTGAATCTGCTATCCATACGTAATTCCAGGCCAATGTGAACCAGCAGAATTGAAAACACCCATCAGAGAGAGAGCACAGTCGTGCGAAGCGTTTAGTCCTCAATAAAACCCCGTGCTTTATATGTGCACACAAACAGGTACTGCAGTGCAAACGGCCTCTCTCTGCCTTGCAGACTTATGCTCAGTCAGGAAGACGCAGTGTCCAATTGAATCTGTAAAAGCAAGTGGTACATTACGCAGGGACAGCGCGAGTCTGGAGTCACATGGAGCAAATGCACTCGACTGTAGGTCACGTGGGGGGTTTCAGATGGCCATGCCCTTTCACGCGCGTGAAAGGGAAGCACCCGCCTGCGTTGTAAGTGGTGTACAGCCGCAGACAATGCAAATCCTCAACGACACTGTGGCCTTACAAACAAAAACATATACAACAGGCGACGCATCGGGCAATTGGCAATTGTTCATAGCACGTATTTGTTCATAGCACGTATTTGCTTTTATGCGTCTTTGGTGCTCTAAGGGCCATCGCCTGAAACTTTGCTCTTTCCCATCTACATTTTTTCCCCCTTGGAAGGCCGCATTGTTATAGTCCGATGCGTTGAGTTGTTGTTTAATTCCGTGTTCATGCTGCTGTGCCAGAGGCTTGATCGAAGCGTCTTCGGAAGTCGTTCTGCGTTATCACCTTCCGGGGACCATTCCCCGACACGAAGCGCTGCTCCGGTTGTGACCTCTGTGTGCAGTTGCTGTGCAGTGGCAGCGCACACCATGCACAATAACATGATGACATGGCGAGAGTTACAAATATTACACTCCCATTAAAAGCGTGTCACCAGTTACCGAGTATATTACAGTACCTGTATATCATTGATTTTAAATTTATCTACACTGAATCCCCCAACGACAAGAAAGGTCTCGGTTTCACTGCTCGCCGTCTTCTAGTCTTCTGCAACCCAGACGACGGTGTCGGGAACATCCTTCCAGGACAGCCAGCAGCTCACCCTCCACGGATCCGCTTCCAGCACGAGGAGACTTTTCTGGCCCCAGCGGAGAAGGTGCTGCCCAAACAGGCCACTGTCCACGAGCTGCCACTCGGCCGCCAAAGTCTGCCTCGCTGCTGCGGCCCCTCGGCCAATTCTCAACCCCTCCAGCACTGGCAACGAATGAGAGAAATGCTTCAACGGGTCCTGCTGGAGTTTCCCCGCGTCAACGGTCTCCCTTATGTTTACCCCTGCAGTTCTTTGGCCGTGCGCTGGGTTTTTCCGCACGAATTTGCCCGTTGAAATGAAACTCCAATTTCCTGTTTGTGGCTCGATGAGGAGCAGGTCCGGCCGATCTCTGAGTCCGACGTAGACGTTGTAGCCGGACCCGGGCCTCCTCGCTGGCTGGAACAGCACCCCAGAGACGGCCAGCCGCGTGTGCAACACAAACCACTCCACGGTTTCCCCCGCGGCGGACAAGGTCTGCACGTGCACGATGCTTCCCGAGCGATGAGCGCAGGAAGCGCGCAGTGGGTTGGTGCGCGCGAAGTCACCCGCGCCGTCGGGATCGCACGGCGCCGGCCGAGATGCGCCGCCGCCGGCGCTCCGGCTCTTCGCGGAGCTCGCTTCGGGGCTCCCGGAGCGACGGGTCCGCGGCGACGGCCGCGACGAACGCTCGCTCGCCACGCTGACGACGTGGCGTCCGTCGGGAGAGACGTGGGGCGTTCCGGCCGCCCCGCCGTTGCGCCCCACCACCGCGTCCGTCACGCCGTCCAGCACGAGCTGCGGGAACGGCGCGCCGCGGCGCCGGCGGCTCGCGGCTCCGGCGGCTCCGGCGGGGGCGGCGGCGGCGCACGCCACGACGTAGCGCGCGCCGCGCGGCGAGAAGGCGATGGCGCGCGGCGCGCAGCCCCAGGGCGCGAGGCTCACGCGCCGCGCCAGCCGCAGGCGCAGCAGGTCCACCTTGTAGAGGAGCGGCCGCCGGGAGCAGGCGAGGAGCCCGAACCTGCGGCCGTTCACCCAGAACGCGGCGCGACGTCGGCGGAGGACGCACGCGGGACGACGATGCCCGGCGGCGGGGCTCGGAGGCCGAGTAATGTTTGGCACTGGAGGAATCCGATGAGCCGTGAGGCTCTTTCGTCAAAGATGTCCGGTAGTTTCACCGGATGTCCGGTAGTTAGGGTCTGTACAATACCCGTGCTAATACCAATCAGCCTCGTCAAGTGACAACACGCTCCCGAGAGTTAAATTAATTTACACCTCACAATGAATGCGATCGTTGACGGCTTCTGTTTTGTTTGATGATATCGCACCTCGTGCACCGGTCTTGAACACGCCCTGCGTAATAATTGAATGCTGTCGGTTTAACAGAGGCATGTCCAACATGCTACCTGTAGGGCTGGATTGATTAACAACACAGACACATGATGATTATTATTGTTACGCTTCTTAAGCCAGGAAGGCGTCGCGGAGCCTCAAGACTCTCTTTCAGGGGGGGTGGGTGGGCGGGGATCTTGCCAAGTTTTCGCAGCAGGGGGCAATGCTGCTGCTGCTGCTGCTCGCCGTGTGTGATGCCAACGGAGTAATTTGCAGTGTGGGGTTTTGTCGTCCATGGGAGGAAACCGAGGACCCAGCAGACAAACCATGCAGAACAGGGATAGAGAGAACATACAAACTACACACACAGAGAACATACAAACTACACAGAGAGAACATACAAACTACACACAGAGAGAACATACAAACTACACACACACACAGAAACATACAAACTACACACACACAGAGAGAGAACATACAAACTACACACCCAGAGAGAACATACAAACTACACACACTGAGAACATACAAACTACACACACAGAGAACATACAAACTACACAGAGAGAACATGCAAACTACACACACAGATAGAACATACAAACTACACACAGAGAGAACATACAAACTACACACACACAGAGAACATACAAACTACACACAGAGAGAACACACAAACTACACACACACACAGAACATACAAACTACACACAGAGAGAACATACAAACTACACACACACACAGAGAACATACAAACTACACACAGAGAGAACATACAAACTACACACAGAGAGAACACACAAACTACACACACACACAGAACATACAAACTACACACAGAGAGAACATACAAACTACACACACACAGAGAACATACAAACTACACACAGAGAGAACATACAAACTACACACACACAGAGAACATACAAACTACACACAGAGAGAACATACAAACTACACACACACACAGAGAACATACAAACTACACACAGAGAGAACATACAAACTACACACACACAGAGAACATACAAACTACACACAGAGAGAACATACAAACTACACACAGAGAGAGAACATACAAACTCCACACACAGAGAACATACAAACTCCACACACACAGAGAACATACAAACTACACACAGAGAGAACATACAAACTACACAGAGAGAGAGAGAGAACATACAAACTCCACACACAGAGAACATACAAACTACACACACACACAGAGAACATACAAACTACACACAGAGAGAACATACAAACTACACACAGAGAGAGAGAACATACAAACTCCACACACAGAGAACATACAAACTACACACACACAGAGAACATGCAAACTACACACAGAGAGAACATACAAACTCCACACAGAGAGAACATACAAACTACACACACACACACACAGAACATACAAACTACACACAGAGAGAACATACAAACTACACACACACAGAGAACATACAAACTACACACAGAGAGAACATACAAACTACACACAGAGAGAGAGAACATACAAACTCCACACACAGAGAACATACAAACTCCACACACACAGAGAACATACAAACTACACACAGAGAGAACATACAAACTACACAGAGAGAGAGAGAACATACAAACTCCACACACAGAGAACATACAAACTACACACACACAGAGAGAACATACAAACTACACACAGAGAGAACATACAAACTACACAAAGAGAGAGAGAACATACAAACTCCACACACAGAGAACATACAAACTACACACACACAGAGAACATGCAAACTACACACAGAGAGAACATACAAACTCCACACAGAGAGAACATACAAACTACACACAGAGAGAACATACAAACTACACACACAGAGAACATGCAAACTACACACAGAGAGAACATACAAACTACACACACAGAGAGAACATACAAACTACACACACACACAGAACATACAAATTCCACACACAGAGAGAGAACATACAAACTACACACACAGAGAACATGCAAACTACACAGAGAGAGAGATCATACAAACTACACACACAGATAGATCATGCAAACTACACAGAGAGAGAGATCATACAAACTACACACACACAGAACATACAAACTATACACACAGAGAGAACATACAAACTACACACAGAGAACATACAAACTACACACACAGAGAACATACAAACTACACACAGAGAGAGAGAACATACAAACTACACACACAGAGAACATACAAACTACACACAGAGAGAGAGAACATACAAACTCCACACACAGAGAGAACATACAAACTACACACACACAGAGAACACACAAACTCCACACGGACACACAGAAACACACAAACTCCACACAGACACACAGAAACATACAAACTCCGCACACAGAGAAATGTACAAACAACTCCACACAGAGACAACGTGCAAACTACACACAGAGAGACGCCGGGTCAGATGTATCCCAATACGCGAGTCGGGAGAGTGCTTTCTGGTGCCCATGAGCATGTCCATGCCACGCTCTGCTGCATCTCGCCCACGATCCACTAACACCCCCTCCATTTGGTAAACTTCTCTACGGACAGCGAAGTGGGAATGGAGGCGATGGTGTCTCCGTGGTGTCTTTATTAGAATGGCCGTGTTTATTTGCTCGCTGCCTGCGAGTGAGAGTGTCGGCGCCCATCCGAGTGAAGGGCCCCCGTTTAATTTCCCCGTGGATGTTGATGGCGACGCGGTGTTGGCGCTGCCCCTCTGCTCGGCACCCAGAGGCGGGCAGGGCACGCGGCAGTCACCAGTTCGGGGTCAGAGAGGGGGGCGGGGGGGTGCAGGTGGGGGTTAGAGGGGGGGGGTTGGAGGGGGTTGGAGGTGGGGGTTGGAGGTGGGGGGGTTGGAGGTGGGGGGTTGGAGGTGGGGGGTTGGAGGTGGGGGTTGGAGGTGGGGGGTTGGAGGTGGGGGGTTGGAGGTGGGGGGTTGGAGGTGGGGGTTGGAGGTGGGGGGTTGGAGGTGGGGGGTTGGAGGTGGGGGTTGGAGGTGGGGGGTTGGAGGTGGGGGGTTGGAGGGGGGGTTGGAGGTGAGGGTTGGAGGGGGGGGTTGGAGGTGGGGGTTGGAGGTGGAGGGTTGGAGGTGGGGGTTGGAGGTGGAGGGTTGGAGGTAGGGGTTGGAGGTGGGGGGTTTGGAGGTGGGGGTTGGCGGTGGGGGGTTGGAGGTGGGGGGTTGGAGGGGGGGGTTGGAGGGGGGGGTTGGAGGTAGGGGTTGGAGGTGGGGGTTGGAGGTGGGGGGTTGGAGGTGGGGGGTTGGAGGTGGGGGGTTGGAGGTGAGGGGTTGGAGGTGGGGGGTTGGAGGTGGGGGGTTGGAGGTGGGGGGTTGGAGGTGGGGGGTTGGAGGTGGGGGGGTTGGAGGTGGGGGTTGGAGGTGGGGGGTTGGAGGTGGGGGTTGGAGGTGGGGGGGTTGGAGGTGGGGGTTGGAGGTGGGGGATTGGAGGTGGGGGTTGGAGGTGGGGGGTTGGAGGTGGGGGGTTGGAGGTGGGGGGTTGGAGGTGGGGGGTTGGAGGTGGGGGGGTTGGAGGTGGGGGTTGGAGTTGAGGGGTTGGAGGTGAGGGGTTGGAGGTGGGGGTTAGAGGGGGGGGGTTGGAGGGGGTTGGAGGTGGGGGTTGGAGGTGGGGGGGTTGGAGGTGGGGGGTTGGAGGTGGGGGTTGGAGGTGGGGGATTGGAGGTGGGGGTTGGAGGTGGGGGGTTGGAGGTGGGGGGTTGGAGGTGGGGGGTTGGAGGTGGGGGGTTGGAGGTGGGGGGGTTGGAGGTGGGGGTTGGAGTTGAGGGGTTGGAGGTGAGGGGTTGGAGGTGGGGGTTGGAGGTGGGGGGTTGGAGGTGGGGTTGGAGGTGGGGGATTGGAGGTGGGGGTTGGAGGTGGGGGGTTGGAGGTGGGGGGTTGGAGGTGGGGGGTTGGAGGTGGGGGGTTGGAGGTGGGGGGTTGGAGGTGGGGGGGTTGGAGGTGGGGGTTGGAGTTGAGGGGTGGAGGTGAGGGGTTGGAGGTGGGGGTTGGAGGTGGGGGGGTTGGAGGTGGGGGTTGGAGGTGGGGGTTGGAGGTGGGGGGTTGGAGGTGGGGGGTTGGAGGTGGGGGGGTTGGAGGTGGGGGTTGGAGTTGAGGGGTTGGAGGTGAGGGTTGGAGGTGGGGGTTAGAGGGGGGGGGTTTGGAGGGGGTTGGAGGTGGGGGTTGGAGGTGGGGTTGGAGGTGGGGGGTTGGAGGTGGGGGTTGGAGGTGGGGGATTGGAGGTGGGGGTTGGAGGTGGGGGGTTGGAGGTGGGGGGTTGGAGTGGGGGGTTGGAGGTGGGGGGTTGGAGGTGGGGGGTTGGAGGTGGGGGTTGGAGTTGAGGGGTGGGTGAGGGTTGAGGGTGGGGGGTGGAGGTGGGGGGTTGGAGGTGGGGGTTGGAGGTGGGGGTTGGAGGTGGGGGATTGGAGGTGGGGGTTGGAGGTGGGGGGTTGGAGGTGGGGGGTTGGAGGGGGGGGTTGGAGGTGGGGGGGTTGGAGGTGGGGGGGGTTGGAGGTGGGGGTTGGAGTTGAGGGGTTGGAGGTGAGGGGTTGGAGGTGGGGGTTGGAGGTGGGGGGGGTTGGAGGTGGGGGTTGGAGGTGGGGGGTTGGAGGTGGGGGTTGGAGGTGGGGGGTTGGAGGTGGGGGTTGGAGGTGGGGGGTTGGAGGTGGGGGGTTGGAGTTGGGGGTTGGAGGTGGGGGGGTTGGAGGTGGGGGTTGGAGGGGGGGGTTGGAGTGGGGGGTTGGAGGTGGGGGTTGGAGGTGGGGGTTTGGAGGTGGGGGGTTGGAGGTGGGGTTGGAGGTGGGGGATTGGAGGTGGGGGGGTTGGATCGATGGGGGGTTGGGGGGGTTGGAGGTGGGGTTGGAGGTGGGGGTTGGAGGTGGGGGGTTAGAGGTGGGGGTTGGAGGTGGGGGATTGGAGGTGGGGGTTGGAGGTGGGGGGTTGGAGGTGGGGGTTGGAGTTGAGGGTTTGGAGGTGGGGGGGTTGGAGGTGGGGGTTGGAGGTGGGGGTTGGAGGTGGGGGGTTGGAGTGAGGGTGTTGGAGGTGGGGGGTTGGAGGTGGGGGTTGGAGGTGGGGGTTGGAGGTGGGGGGTGGAGGTGGGGGGTTGGAGGTGGGGGGTTGGAGGTGGGGGTTGGAGGTGGGGGGTTGGAGGTGGGGGGTGGGAGTGGGGGTTGGAGGTGAGGGTTGGAGGTGAGGGGTGGAGGTGGGGGGTTGGAGGTGGGGGTTGGAGGTGGGGGGTTGGAGGTGAAGGGGTTGGAGGTGAGGGGTTGGAGGTGAGGGGGTTGGAGGGGGGGGTTGGAGGTGGGGGGTTGGAGGTGGGGGTTGGAGGTGGGGGGTTGGAGGTGGGGGTTGGAGGTGAGGGGTTGGAGGTGAGGGGTTGGAGGTGGGGGGGTTGGAGGTGGGGGTTGGAGGTGGGGGTTGGAGGTGAGGGGTTGGAGGTGAGGGGTTGGAGGTGGGGGTTGGAGGGGTTGGAGGTGGAGGTTGCAGGTGGGGGGTTGGAGGTGGGGGGTTGGAGGTGGGGGGGTTGGAGGTGGGGGGTTGGAGGTGGGGGTTGGAGGTGAGGGGTTGGAGGTGGGGGTTGGAGGTGGGGGGGTTGGAGGTGGGGGTTGGAGGTGGGGGTTGGAGGTGGGGGTTGGAGGTGGGGGGTTGGAGGTGGGGGGTTGGAGGTGGGGGGTTGGAGGTGGGGGTTGGAGGTGGGGGGTTAGAGGTGGGGGTTGGAGGTGGGGGATTGGAGGTGGGGGTTGGAGGTGGGGGGTTGGAGGTGGGGGGGTTGGAGGTGGGGGGGTTGGAGGTGGGGGGTTGGAGGTGGGGGGTTGGAGGTGTGGGCTCACCGTGCCGCGGGGAGGAGGGGGGACGAGGGGATGTGGAGGTCGCCCAGGGACGTGCAGGCGGTGCCCGGCAGCGTCTCGCTGACACGGCCGCTGCCGTGGCCGCTGCCACCGCTGGTGGCCTCGTGGATGACCTGCCGACACAGCGCCGCGGGATATCGCCTAACTGCGCTGGCGAGAGCTTCGTCAACCGCGAGCGTCGCACGATTTGCAGGTCACCTCGCCGTCTCTTTCCTCCTGCTGCTGCTGCTGCTTCTTCCCGAGGGAATTCCCTCCTCCCGTCGTCTCTTCTCCCCAGGCTGTGATCATAACCTTGCTCAGTTTCCACAAATGTGTAAACGTTGTATCTATTAGAACTTTGACGGTGTTCGTTTGTTGCGAGACGTTTGGCGTTTTGGACCTATGGGCCCGTGCTCAGCAACTGTGTTTAAAATACAATGAAAATCCGATTTGAATATTTAACACCGTGTCGTTCAGAAGGACTGCAAAGTGAATGAATGCACAGCGATTAGCGCACTGAACCGTGAGCCTGGCCAAAGTAAACTCAGGAGGAGGGGGGGGTGAAACCTGAACTGGTCTCAGACCTCCCTTTACCAACCCACAGTGCCCTGTGCGATGAAGTACCGTCACAAAGACAAAGATCTCCCCTATAGCCTTAACAGACTGTAGGGGCAAGTGCTGTTAGCGAGCATCTATGAAGGCAGGGACGGCACACGAGGGGGTTGGTGGTCAGCACCACGCCCGACCGCCTTTGTTTCCGTTGTGACGGATGTTCCCACATCGCACCAGGCACTCATTTGAGCGCTGAGCCGACCCAGAGGAGGCCCAGGACCGCTTCACATAATCGTCACCGGTGCTGAAAAAGTACGTTCGCACAACCCCAATGACCGACACGCCACGGAGTCTATATACACAACAAATAAATAAGAAGAAAAAAGGGCACCGCTGACATTTCAAGAGGGATACATCCAGCGTGAAATGTGTGGCCGGGCTTATGAAGTGCATCGATCACCGAGAGAGATGCTGCTGTCTGCGCCGCTGCACCCACACACCGCCCTGCACATCCCTCGTCTGCATGCGTGCGCGCGATCCCGCGCTAAGAACCCCGGTGACCGGAGTTCGATTCCCGCTCACGGCCGAACGCCGGTGACGACTGTCTGAACCGGTCCCTGGGTCCCTCCCCGAGGCCGATTCGCATCGAGACGAAGGACTCGCGGTTCGCGGCGAGAGTCTCGAACCAGGGAACAACTTAAGCGAGCGAATGTAGTTGAGGAGTGAAGATGATTTATGTGCACGACTCAACCGAGTTGGTGATGATTATTTTTTTTTTAAATTCCCAGGATTGTTGGCAGTCTGGGAAGTAACAAATCAGCTGTGATGTGAGGCTCGTGTTTTTTGACGGAACGGCCGCCGTTCCATCAAGCATCTCAACCGACGGCCATCATCACGCCTTCCCGCTCTTTAAACAGTCAACCGCGGGCTCCTCCAATTTGCATTTGACCTCTGATCCGTGGATTTCCTCCTTCTAGTCGCTCCGTTGAATTTCCATCATGCCTCTCTCAATGTGCGCGCGTGTGTGTGTGGGTGCGGTAGTGTAGCGGTTAGCGCGCTGCGCTACGAACCTGGCGACCCGAGTTCGATTCCCACCCACGGCCAACATCGGTGACGATTATCTGAACCGGTCCTGGGCCTCCCCTAGGTTGATTCAGCCTCAAATATCGCCACTAGGGAGACAAAAGCGGTTGGGTGTGGTGCTGGCGACCCACCCCCTCGTGTGCTGTTCTGGCCTTCATAGGTGCTCGCTAACAGCACTTGCCCCAACAGTATGTTAAGGTTGGACGGGGGATCTTTGTGTCTTTGTGTGCGTGTGTGTACTCTTGGCACAGTATGGGGTACAGGTAGTGCACCGGTCAGTCATCTCAATCAGTCAACCCATGGCACCTGCTGTGTCTGTCTCGTGACATCCTGCCTGCGGGTGTTCGACACTTCACGTGGCCTTAACGTGCACATAGCCTGGCACAAGCGCCGTGGTGACGTCACCGCCACTTATTGGTGAATGGCGGTTGTTGTTTTTTGTTGTGTACTCTTCAGCTCTTATTAAATCTTCTTCATCGGGGGGTGGGGGGGGGGGGTCAGCATTTCGGATCCGTATGTCACAGCAGGTAACATCCACCGGCCCAGGGACGTTCTTGTTTAGGCCCCATCGCTCGTGATCAAAATGCGGTCTTCCAAAAGCGCTCCATGCCGCTCTCTCTCTCTCTTTGCCGCTCTCTCTCTCTCTCATGTCATCGCCTTGACCCCCACCCCACTCCATCGACAATCAACAACCCTGTTGTGTTTTCCAATTTCTCTCCCTCCAACAAATGGCTTACCTTTCGTTCGTGGAACTTGTCGTAGATTACTTTTCTCTCTCTCGCTGTCTCTCACCTTTATCTGTGTGGTCCAACATCGCAGCCTGTTCTGTCAAAGTTCTCAGCGATCATTGACTGCAATTCATTTACAACGGGGCGCCTTCGGGAACACCCGAGATGGTCGACGCTTTCTCCATTTTAGGAGATAACTACGGCGGGGATTGCATTAAAAATGTAACAAGGTGCAGTGCAGAGCAGAACAGGAAGGAGATGAGATGCGCTCTTGCCGAGACTACTTAAGGTGCAGTGAGAAGATTTATTCAGATTCGGGTTTTTTTATGCTCTCACTGCACGTGTGCCTGGAATTACCTGCTGTCTCCTTTGTCTCACGTGGTTTGCAGTGACGTGGCTGCGCTGTGAGCTACCGCTTCTCCCACTCTCGTCTTTACTTGTCATGCACCATAATTTGTCTTTTCAGATACATTCGGTTGTCATCGGTTGTCATCGCTCTGATTTCTGTCTGCTTCATTGTTGTACTTGTTTTTATGTTGTTGGTTTTGTCAAGAGTATTTGGCTGTTATAAATGTTCAGGTGATAAGCCACATCGTTGAGCTATTTATTTGAAAAGAGAGCTGTATAGCTCAGTGAGCCTTACCTGATAAAACATTTTTTTAAAAAAAGCTTAGTCTTTAGTTTTCAACTTGGTGACTCAGGTAACTTTTGCAAATTAGACTAACCTGGTCTCTTGGATTCTCACCTGGTTAAACAAACTTAACAAAAAACTTAAAGTTGTGTCTTTTGTGTACTGTACCCCTTTGTGTACCGTCTGGTCTCTGCTATTTGGTCCCACGTTCGCCCGCGACGGGAGAGGATGCGGGACATTCTCATCGAACGGAACGGGACGATAATTCAAATCTGTTGACCGTTGTTGTCACTCCCTCACACTGATCCTGACAGCTCGTAGCTGCTTCGCATTGAATACGCTGTGGACGCAGAACACCACACGTGACGTGGAAGTGGCATTGTCAACCCGTGCCAGGTGGGAGCAGCAGCTCCCAGTGGACCTAATGACCCCTGGGCCCCAGTGCCACAATGCTATCCCTGCCTCGGAGGGCCCTCGTTCGCCCGCAGCCTCCAAGCGGGCGCCGTGACCTCCAAGAGCACCGCGACCTTCAGCCGGCGGCGACGGCTGCCGTCGCTTCCTCACCTGCAGAGATTGCCCCGCCGATCGATTGCGAGCGGCGCTCAGGACCCAGACGCGATCCCTCGCCGCCTCGTACACCAGGCGCCCAGGCGACGGCACCGTAGGGATGATCTGCAATTGCGCGGAGCGCGCGGACCGCGTCAACTTCTCGACCGCGAGTTCGCAAGGCCCGCCGCGGGCTCGACTTTCGCCGGACCGGTGCGGAGGAGCAGAGGTCGCCGACGTCCCTAGGTCCCGCGCAATGCACGCGACTCCCGGGTGCGGCACGGCCGGGGGGGGGGGAACGGAGTGAGCTCAGCCGCAGAGACCGAGTGCCGATCCCCAGGCGGAGTCGTGCACTGCTGTGGTTTGTTTGCCGATGCGCTGCAATAATAACGCTCGCCCTAGGCGTCGCGATGGCGCACTAAACTAGAACTGTTTTTGTGATATTCTTGGTTCTTTCGGTAAAGTCACGTAGAAGGGAAACAATAAATAAGAAAAATATAAAATAATACAATTATCACGACGTTTCGACTGCAACACAAGCAATCATCATCAGGTGTGAAAACCACAACAAGAAAATTTGAAAAAAAGTGGCGGTTTTTTTAACGTTAGCACCACGGAGAGCGATTTGGCAGTTAATCAGATGGACGAGTCCATCTATGTTCGGAAAAGAGGAGGGGGGAGACGAAAATAATGGATGCTGTCTGAAAGTCACCATAAGCGTGAACAATCAATTAAGACCCGAAATGGTTTATCAAATCCTTCCAATGATTGCTAAGCCAGAATCCATCTTCTCGGTTGAAATTGTCTCTGTGTTTGTATATGTGGATAGCCTCATGAACGAATCTTTCATGGTAGCCAGATGGCTTGCAGAGAACCTCTGTCTTGGAGAAGTCAATGTCATGTAAGCCTACTGAATTATTATTTATTTTTCCCTTCTACGTGACTTTACCAAAAGAACCAAGAATATGAATCCCTGCAGTCACGACAGCTTTAAATCAATATTTTTGTGATGTTACCAGGTAAGGCCCACTGAGCTGTATAGCTCTTTTTCTAAACCAACCTGGCCACAAACGATAGCTCAACGATGGGGCTTATCGTGTGGAAATTTATAGCAGTCAAATACTCTAGATGCGTGTTTCTAAATGTGGAGGGGAAAACCGGAGGACCCGGAGCAAAATCGACGCGACCATGGGGAGAGAAGAGACAGGCAAGCGCCAAATAGATACAACAGATGTCAGGGTCGGGATCGAACCCACGACCTCCTGCATCCCAGGCGAAGTAGTTAACATCTCCTAGCCACCGTGACCCTGATACGCATTGCGATGGCGAGCGCGAGCATCGCCGCTCGGGGGGAGACGGAGCGTCTCACCTGCACGGCCTTCTGCGCGAACACGTCCACCACCACCACGCGGTTCTGCAGCGGTTGGGCGACGAAAATGAATTTGTTTGCAACGACCACAGCAGATCCCCAGGGGCACTCCCCGGCGTCTCCGCAGAGCCGCTCCTGCAACACAAGAGTGCGCAAAGGCAAAGGTCGCCCGTGTAGCCTGTGCCGGACTGTTGGGGCAAGTGCTTGTGATGGACAAAAACGACGCGCACGAGGTTATGGGCATTGTTTTGCTGACGCACGTGTGTGTCCCGTGTACACATACACACACACACTTAGAACAAAGATAAAGATCCCCTGTGTAGCCTCGAACAGACTGTTGGGGCAAGTGCTGTTGGCGAGTACCTTTGAAGGCCGGTACAGCAAGCAAAGCGGTGGGGTGGCCGATTCCACACCCGGCCGCCTTTGCCTCCCCCACCGTCGATGCTTACACACCATACCGGTTACTCATTCAAGGCTGAGCGAGCCTAGGGGGCAGGCCCAAAAAAAACCGGTTCAGATGCTCGCCACCGACGTTGGCCGCCGCCGGGAACCTCACCGCGTGCGGAGCGGCGCCCTCCGCTCCGAGGTCGAGACGTCGGACGTCGCACGAGTCGGGGGCCAGCAGCGACACGGAGCCGCCTCCTCCGCCAAACGCGTAGAGCACGTTCCTCCTCGGGGGGGGCCCTGCACAGCGCCAGCAACAACAAAAAAACGCAGCTCGCGGTCACGACGTTCCCGCCGCACGTGACGCCGACAAGTGCCGCGACACCGGTGCCAACGGCGGGAATACAGTGGCATTACGGGCGCTGGGTGACATCGGTTCTCAACCCCCCCCCCCCCGCCCCCCCGAAGCTAACGAGCGAACGAGGCGCAGCACCCGCTCGTTTGTTTTGGCACTCGTATCGTCCGACAACGGCGCGGGCGACTCTCGTGCGTTGAACGTCCGCCAGGGATCTTGTCCACCCCCGCAGGAGGAAGTCTCCCATCGATACTCGACGTCCTTGACGCGACCTCCCCGCCCCCCCCCCCCTCTCTCTTCCTCCCCCCACCCCCCCCCCCCCCCCCCCCCCCCTGGTGACCGCGATCGCCCCGCATCCGCCGCAGCTTACGTGGCTTGAAAGGGAGGTCCTTGACGAAGAGAGAGGAGATTCGCTGCCGTGTGCCGGCGGGGTTGCGCGCCTGGCAGGTGTAAGCCGCCGTGTCCTCGTAGCGCACGCGGCCGATGCGCAGCTCCTGCCCGCCGCCTGCAACGACAAAGCCGCTCGTCTGGCGGTGACGCCGTGCTGCGCCGTCGCAAGTTAACACAAAAAATCCCGCGAGGAGGACGGCCGTGGTTGTTTTCGTTTGGGTTTGGCGACGTGCCGGTGGTTCTGTGCCAACATTCGCGTTGTCGGCGGTAGAGCGAGTGGCTCCTAATCGGAAGGTTGCAAGTTTAAATCCTGGCTTGGGGCTAACTCAGCCCGTCATTGCTCTGGGATCCTTAAAATTATTACTACTTCATCGGGAAAGTCACATGCGGTTGTCCTATGGACAGACTCGCCCCCGTCATAGAAATATGGAATGTTCAATACTTGCTCTGCAGGGCTATAAACAGGAGGTGAGCACCAATGCCTCAATGCTCATTTGAGCACGAAGTCGCTCTGACTTAAATCTCCTCTCATCTGTCATCCTATTATCAGTGACGCCTCTGTCCCAGCAGATCCCGTGACATCCCCAGCTGATGGGGTTCTCCACAGACCGCTGGGCTCCACGCGACGGAGGAACGCAAACCTCACTCGGGACCTCGGCGCTGTCTCTCTCATGGCCCCTGAGCCGTACAGTCTTGATTTAGGGGCTGTGGCCACGGGCCCTTAGCAGCGGCGAAGGTCACCTAATCCCTGCTTGCGCATCTACATATTTATAAGCGGGAGACAAAGAGCATCCACGTGCTGCGGTAGCAAAGCATCGCCAAAGTAAACACGCTCGGGCGATGGGCGGTGCGCATCCAACGGATGCGTTAATCCACTGGCCAATGATGATCTGCTGTACGCTGCCGGAATGCCATAGTCGGGGTCTTCTCGCATTGTGCGTTGGCTGCTCCTGCCCGTGGAACGTTGGACCAACGTTGGCATGGAACGTTGAACTAACGTTGGCATGGAACGTTGGACTAACGTTCACATGGAACATTGGGCCAACGTTGACATGTTTACTCGGACCACGCTGGCAGTGAGGGTAAAAGCTTTACCGTGGTGTCCTTAATTTAATAAATGCTCTTGAGGAAAGCCTAATCTGTAAGCACCATCAACAGTTTGACGTAAAGTAGTTTTTTTGTGATTATTATAAAAACAACGATTTTTTTGTTATCTTGCAATTTTCAGAAACAGCACACAAACCTTTGGTGTTCTTGTGTTTGTGTGCTAAGCTGACCAAGTGCAATCTGTGACGTGGTGGAGCACAGAGCTCAGCTCATCATCCTACTGGTGTCAATACATACGCACCACTTTGTGGGTACGTCAACAGTGATTAATCCTGTGGGGAGACTCGGCCCCGCCATAGGAACGTGGGATTTCCATCACTGAGTCAGGACTGCAAAGAGTATTTGAGAAGGAACCTGATAATGGGTTTTTTCCCCTTTTTTCTGGCAACAAAACAGGTGTTAAGATGTTAAAACACCAAACTGAAACCTTTTACAAGGAATCATGTGTGCATTAACCACAATGCTTGTGGTCAGAATGCAAACAAAAAACACACTCTGATAATATATATGCATTGTCCTTGAAACTGATTGGTCCACACCAGAGACAGCTTTCTTTTGAGCCTCGTCTCAAACGGTGATACTAGGTTTTGTTTCCAGAAAAAATGGGGATGTAGAAGGAACCTGTTCGACATGACCCTCAGACCGGTCGGCGTTGTTGTGACCACGTGCGAGCCGGTTGTTAACAGACGGTTGTTATCTCGTACTCATTCAGTTTTGCTCTGCCGCCCGTTGGCATCGTGGAGATCGATGCTGTGGCAAAAACCCCTACTCCCGTGCGTGACCTCTTGCGGCGACGCGCTCACCTTGCAGGCTGACGTGGTGATACGGATCCGGAACGACCTTTTCGCCATTTTTGAACCAGGTGATTCGCGGGCGTGGGATCCCATCGGCGTGACACGTCAGGACCGCGGGCTGGCCTGGCTGTCGCAGCTGGCTCGACACCGCGACGCGCACGGCCGGTGGCACTGCATCACGCACGGCACACGCGGGCACGCAGCACGCACCGTACACAGAGGCCCGTCGCAGGCAGTGGCCGTAATGTCACCAATTCTGTTCTGCTGGTGCAGTTCGATATCTGGCAACCCACGCCGCTTTTTGGCCGAAATGAATGCAATTCTAAATGTTCTGTTTTTTTTTATCTCGCGTGGCGACCTTTTCCGCTGGAGACCAAGTTCGGACACATTTCTCAGTCAGCCCAGGTCGAAGAAATCTGTCTTATAGAAAAAGTTCAACGCAGTGCCACCGCAGCTCAATACATATCAATCCCTTTGACCAAAATACCGATGTAAATTCCCGGACTGACCAAGGCAAACCGGGAGAGGGGCAACCTTATGTTTAGCGCTCATTTCTGTGAGATACACAGAGTTAAGAATCAGGGGCGGAGCCAGGATTTCAGGCCGGGGTGACATTCAACAAATTTTAATTTCAAGAATGATTAGAGAGTCAGGCTGTTGAACTAGACGCCATCGGTTGGCGACACACTCTGACAATGCAGTTGCACAGAGTCCGCCAGACCGAGTGTCGTACACTTATACGCAGAATGTCACCCCTGTCACCCCCCCTAGCTCCGTTCCTGTTAAGAATCCGTTTTTTTTTATAATCCCCAGACTGAACTTATAGGTTAGTGAGGCCACGATTTGTTTAGCTGAACCAGCCACTACGAGCGGCGGCATTGCAATCACACCAGAGGCACTGTCCGATTCAGGCCTGACAGGTACACACAGCCAGTGGACTCCATTCGACCGATCGGAGAGAAATACAGTGGGACGAAGAAACAGCGAGAACCCCCCACCCCTAATGAAAATAAGCACACGGCCAACTTTGAATGCAAGTCTCTGTGCTCTCTTTGCGCGCAAATCGCACTCTGAATATATAACACGGGGGGGACACTTGCACACGCGTTTTCATAAAAAATAAATGTACGGGCAGCTGGAAGTGGGTTACAGTCGAGGTGGTGGCGCGGCTGGGCCATCACCGGCCCACAGCCACGGCTCTCTTGTCACCATTCCCTTCTGATGCGCTGAGGCCTCCCGACACGGTGCACGGTCGCCGGCTCCCGTGCGTCTCGCAGTGGCGACCCCTTCGTAACTCAAAACCCTCGCAAGGGTCAGACTGGAAACCCACGCAACTAAACGCTTGAAAGTATATTGTGCCCTAAACTTGCCGATAAATGTTAAGCTAGTGTCTTGCTGTCTTTGTAATAATAACAAGCTTTTTATGCATAGGGCGCTCGCTTAAAAGCCTCAGCAACTCAAAAAAAGCATCCCAAGTCACAACTCATCTCAAACTATTTGAAGGGCACCCTCAGTGGCAGCTGTCCCTGTGCCATACAAAGCCTGCAAGCGGGCATTCCATTGCCAGGAGCGGGGGTGGGGGGCGATAATTTATATGCGTAACCCCTTATTGACAGGGCGTATTTTTCCAATTAATACACAGCGCCGCAGTATTAAACAGGGCAGATTGTCAGGTTCCAACCGCGGACCTCTGCAGCGAGCAGCGAACGCGAAGCTAAAAACATTTTTTTGTATTTCACCAGGTAAGGCCACACTGCGTTATATCGCTCTTTTTGAGAAGCGACCTGGCCACAAATGATAGCTCTGCGAAGCGACGTATCACGTGGAAATATACGGCAGCCAGATACTCGAAACGCACGTTTCTAAATTGTGGAGGGAAAACCCGTAAGAGCCGGAGAAAAATCCACACGACCACGGGGAGAACATTCAAACTTCCAAAATACACATGCGTCCGGGATCGGGATCGAACCCAAGAAAACTCCTGTATACTCTTTGGTTCTATCGGTAAAGTCACGTGGAAAGAAATTAAATAACAATCTAATACGACGTTTCGATTGCAACACAAGCAATCGTCATCAGGTGCGAATGAATGAGAAAACAAACCTAGTAAACTTAGAAATATAATGCAAAACAGCACAGAGAGTCGGCTAACATAACAGTCAACACCCTACCTGGTTGATTACGTACTTCCAAAGATTGCTAAATTTGAGAGAGAGAGAGACAAAACACAGACACGGAGACACACAGACAGATACACAAGCAGAGAGAGAGAGACTCACACAGATATTATTAGGAAGCCGCCTGTATACTTGGCGTGATAGTTAACATCCGGCCACCGTGACGCTGCCGCACGCGCTCCAAGCCGGGCTTGCGTGGCGATGGGAGGCGGGTTTCGCGTGGTCGTTACCTCTCACCAGGAGCGCGACGCTCTGCCCGCCGCCGCTGGCGTTGTTACAGCAGCAGCTGTAGGTGCCGGCGTGCAGGACGCTCACGCGGGGAAAGACGAGGCGGTGGCTGCCGTCGCTCGCGACCTGCGCGACAGGGGCCACGCGGCGCGCGACACAACCCCTATAGCCTCAAGCGGCACCAGCGCCCCACCGGCAAACACACACACGCATTCATAATAAAGGTTGTTGGGTTAGATCGCGTTATTTATAAATGTGTCGTAAGCCTCCACCACTCGACACGGCCAATCAGCAAAAAAGTGTCACGTTGACAAAAGACAAATAATTCACTACTTTAGCCCACCGGTGTGTTGAAGAGTGAATCCACATTTACAGTTTGAGTACGACGTTTCGCTGGTAATTACATCCGGCATCATCGGGCAATTCCCCTGATGCTGGATGTAATTAATTCTGGCGAATTGCCCGATGATGCTGGATGTAATTACCAGCGAAACGTCACAGTACTCAAACTGTAAATGTTGTGGATTCACTCTTCAACACACCGGTGGGCTAAAGTAGTGAATTATTTGTCTTTAGTCAACGTGACACTTTTTTTGCTGATTGGCCGTGTCGGGTGGTGGAGGGTTACGACACATTTATAAATAACGCGATCTAACCCAAAAACCTTTATTATGAATAATATTGGTCGCGAAATCCTACGTGTTAAACTGACACACATGCATGGTCGGCAAAGTAAAATGCGAAGATAAAAAATGCGCGCACTTGCAAATTTCGCATGGCGAGTTTTAATGCAAGAGATCGTTTCCTTGCAGCTTGATGATTTGTTCGCTTCTGCGTTTTAACAGTGTTCTGTCACTGTCCTGTTGTGATGCCGCATCCTGGTCCAAATATCCACGCGCGAGCTCCCAGCAACGATGAACCACGGTTTCGTTTAACAGTCGACTGGAGATGACACTATTTTAGGCACTCTGATTTTGATTAAGAACAACGAACACAGGTGTGCCACGTGGCAAAGTGAAAAAAGCTCTCAGCATTGCCAAGGCCGCCAGCTCAAAAGAACCGAACGTGTCGCCATGGCGTTTGGACCAATGACTCAACATTCAGCAGGGAAACAAAGACGCAGCTGTAGGTCGGTTTCACCCTCATTAGAACTCATCAGTGCAGTACAGTCATCAATGTTCGCTGCAGCCATAGGCCTCTGGGCGTCTCATATATATATACCTTGCCAGTAAACATGCAAATTTGGTTCAACATTGGCATACCACTGTGTCGTTGGCCCAACGTTTCATGTTTACACTTTGGAGACTCCATTAACACCTTCCTAAAGGTAACCATAATTAAAATCTTCGGGGTTCCTATAGCGTAACGGTAAGTCCTCTATATATATATACCACATTGGGAATGAATTTCAATCGACGTGGCTTTACCGAAAGACCCAAAGAATATGAATTCCTGCAGTCACGAAAGCTTTAACTCAAGATAAATACAGTATACGGTACGGGGCTTCGAGTCGTTTTGCTGTAAATGTCATAATTCGGTGAGCGGAGAGGCAGGAGGCAAGGCACGTCGCACCGTGATGCCGTCGGCCGAGGAAGGAGACAGTCGTACGTGGTTCCTCCGCCAGCCGTGCGGCGCTCCCCGGCCCAGCGCGCACGGCAACTCCACGCGCTCCCCGCTGTTGGCCACCACGTACACCGGCACCTCGGCGTGCCGCTCGCCCCGTCGGCCGGCCCCTGCGGACAAACATCATGGAAATCGGTTGAAGACGTCGTAGGCTTTCGCGACCAATATCATCCATAATATAGGGGGGGGGGGGTTTGGGGGGGGGGTTAAATCGCGTAAATATAAATGTGTCGTTAAACATGCCACCATCCGACACAGCCAATTAGTAAAGGTTTGTCACGTAAACAGAACATACCAATTCGTTGCTCGTACAGCACGCGGGTGTGTTGGAGAGCAAATCCACAACATTTACAAGGTTTAAAAACGCATTTATCTTTAACGCCCCCAAAAAACCCCTATATTATGGATCATGGATCCAAGTCACCGTGGTAGTCGTTTGCATAGGAATGCAAACGCCACGAGGTATCGTGGAGGACCGGCCACTTCATCTGGCTTTCAGACTCGGGCTTTGCTATTCCAACCGGTAAGGCTCCACTGAGGGGAGCTGCCTGTTACGAGGACGACCACAGCCCAATAAGGAGCGGCGGTGGTCCGCTTCTAGGGAGTGGCGAGTCCAGGACTGGCCCAGCTTTCAGTTTGTGAGCCACGCGGAAGCTCTCCGCTTCCCCAAGAGAATGCAATTGTTCGCGACGTGATCCATTGTGTGCTTTCAGGTTGCCGCGCTCTGTGTGTGTGTGTGGCTGGGGAGGGGTGGGGAGGTGATCTTTAATGTCCCACGCGCGCAAGAGGTGCGGCACTGCAGCGAGCAGAACAAAGCCGTGAGCGGCAGTGGTGGCAGCTACGGGACATTGCGGAGTGGGAATGTGCAAACCGGAGATAAAACAACACGTATTTACACGCGTCCCCACGGCAAAAAAAAAAACTCACCGCAAACAGGACGAAAACGATAAACAAATCGAACTTAAATTCAAATCAAAAACTGTTTTCAGTCAGAGACGTTTCACGTAAACAAACCGTGTTCATGATTGAGCTTGGTTATCGCATTGATAGCGATCGCGGCGGAGGTAATCCTACAGAGTGGCCTGCACACGCACGCACGCGCGGCTATAGAGGTGGCCGTGAGATTGGTCGTGGAGGGGACCATCCCTGCCCGCAGCGCCACAATCCCACTCGTGACGCCGAAGGGACACTCGCCGACTCCAGGGCCGCCGGTCGATCGCTCATCGCTATTTTGTAGCCTCCTCTTTAAGCTCTCCTCCAACTGTTTCTGTGTTCCGGATTATTAGGAAGCCGCTGGAGCTATGTACTTTTTAAATCTAGATGGGAAAACTCACTTCTTTAGAACTGCGTTTTGTGTTTGGAATGCTGTCCTTCCCCGGCACCTGCCATTAGCACGGTTGGCTACGTACGGTGCGAAAGATGTTTAACATCCAAACAGACAAACCCCCATTTTAAACATTTCATACTAAGCACAGCAGTGGGCCATATCAAACTATAACGGTGGCTGTCTTGGCTTTAGAATACTACTGTACAAGCACACATTCACTGTGGCAGTGTTGACGGCATACGTGGTGGGCATATCTGCTCCCTCGTCATGTTGTGCGAATCCCAAAATGACAGACGATGACGATGACATTGCGTGATGTTCGTGCCACCAGGTGGTGTCTGCGCATCGAGGGATAACGAGCCTCTACACGCACGCGCAGCCCGAAACGACAGATGGGAGCAGGGGTAGTGCCGAGACCGAGACAAACATTATCTTGGCTTATTTCCAACGCGGTCAGCGGCCGAGCTTCAACCCAGACCCTGGGTCACCCGGCGCGCCTACTCCCTTCAGCCTTCCCGGTTCGCCCAGACGGACGCATCGCGAGACGCGACCGACGGACGCGCGATGATGCCCTCCTGTCGTCGAGTTGCCTGCCCAAGGACAGGTCCCTTGGGTCAAGTTGTCGATTCCTGGCATCGTCCCTGCCTGACCGCAGGCGAGTAGTCATTGTGGATAAGAGATAAGGAGATAATAGGATCCTGAGCAAAGGAATTCATTCATGCTCGAATTAATCATGGGGTTTTTTTTCCTGAATACTTTCCATGCAATTGCCGCCTGTACTTAAGTGCATATTGTAATGGTGGTACGCTGTGAAAATAGACACAGACTTGAGCTGTAAACGATCACTTTTCCTGCAGGCCCTGTGATTTGTTTTTCATCTGAAATATCGGGTCCATCACTGTGAACTCTATCACGAGATCGGCCACCTTTCGTGATTAACAATAGGGAATCTACAGCGGTGCAACCTGATTTCTCACCACACTGGAAAATTCTCCAAAAATTAGATGCCATTTCAAATCCTTTGCAAGCTTCCAAATCCTTATGGCGTGCTCCAAGCTCCGATATTAACATTCGCAATATTAACATTCACATGTCCTCTGGCACGCGTATAACGCACATCAGCCGTGGAGCAACGAAGCGTGCGTTTTACACGTGAATGAAGACTTCTACGTTTTCAAATTCAACCTTTGAGAATGTAACTCCCACCCAATTTGGACGCAAGCACGGGAGAAAGGGAAATCCGGCTTTGGCCGCGGTTGACTGGTGCCAGGTCCACGTCGGGCGTTCACCATTAACCGCACATGGGGGGGGGGGCGTGACCCGACAACAGGGCCACGCTTTTGCCTTTTAAATGAAGACTGCACGCAATTTGAGAAAATCCTACAACCGTGTCAACCGAAGCAACGAACACATCTTCCGGCGATACTGCACACGGTTTAAATCTCAACCGGGAATTAAACAGGCAACGAAAGCCCACGACGTGAGTTTACGTGATAGAAAAAATAATTAGCTATTGTTAAAAAATATTCCCAACAGGCAAGATGCGCAGCACGATATACACAGAATATCTTACACTACAACCCACGTTTGTTATGTATCATAGCAATCATACAGTTTCTATAAAAACACAAACAATTTCACGCATATACATTAAAAGTGTTCTCACATTTTAATTATATTTAATGTAACAACTTTCACTATCGGCCATGATCTATGTACTCTGGATGAAGGATGCCACAATCCATCTCCACGCCCGCACTTCGGCTCTTCCCATCGCCCTTTGTGTGTGCGGTGGAGCGGTCGTGTACGAACTTAGCGAACCGGGTCGACTGAGCCTCAAATGAGTACCTGGTGCGATGCGTAAACATCGCCACTGGGGAGACAAAGGCGGCCGGGCGTGGTGTTGGCCACCCACCCCCTCGTGTGCCGTGCCGGCCTTCATAGGTGCTCGCTAACAGCACTTGCCCCAACAGTCTACAGGGTGTTTAAAAAAAGATGGACCCAATTTCAAAGATATAGCGATTTCAAATCGGGTCCATCTTTTTGACACGCCCTATATTAAGGCTACACGGGGGATATTTGTCGTCCTCTCAGACGGGGAATTCTCTTTTAGTCTCCGCTCTGTGCAGCGAGGTAGCCCCACTCCCTTCACACTCAACGCTGCAAACCTCTTGACTTTGTTCCTCTTTGTGCCTCTCAGTACCAACCCAAGCATGACGCCACTCCATTGCCTTCGTCAGATAATAAACGTTAATTATCATGGTTATTATCACTTTGCATTATTAGCGGCTAATTAACGGTAGAGACTCGCTGAATTACAGGAATGTGCTCCCTTCGCGTTGGTCGTGGGACGGGGGAGGCCCCTGGCCATGCCACCTGATCCCCACGTCGAGCTCAACTCCCGGCCCACGCGAACGAACATCTTGAGGGTCGACTTTGACCGGGATCACGGAGGTTTGAAGTCCACGGCAGCAACGAGGATCTCCAGCATCACACCGATGGCCGTTCACATGGAGGGAAGGTCCAATTTTGGATGCGACGGTGGCACCACAGTTGCGAGATGTTAACTACCTCGCCTGGTATACAGGAAGTCGTGGGTTTGGCACCGACCCTGACGCCTGGATGGTTGGAGTCCGCATGTCTGTCTCCCCGTGGTCCCATGGATTTTTCTCCGGGCCCTCCGGTTTTTTTCCATCCACATTTAGAATCAACATCACGCGTCTTCTTTGGTTCTTTCGGTAAAATCACGTAGAATGAGAATAAAATAATAAAATAAAACAATAAAATTCTCACGACGTTTCGGCCACAACACAAGTGGCCTTCTTCATGTGGCCGGAAACGTCGTGAGAATTTTATTGTTTTATTCTTTTATTTTATTCTCATTCTACGTGACTTTACCGAAAGAACCAAATAAGATGAATCCTTGCAGTCGCGAAAGCTTTAAATCGACATAAACACGCGTTTATAGTATTTGGCTGCTAATAACATTTGCACGTGGTAAGCCACTTCATTGGGCTATCATTCGTGGTCAGGTCGCTACTGAGAAAAGAGTTATATAGCTCAGTGGGCCTTACCTGGTAAAATAAAAAGTTTACAGTTACAATTTGACCTTTCCCCCTGGGAACAGGGCTGACGTTGCATCTGCAGCACAGTTAGAGCATTATTCCATCGCAGTCTCCAGAAGCTATAAGTCTCCACTGGGAAGGATTGAAGGCGTGTTTGAAGAGTCACAGACGCTGGAGTTTCGCCGAAACTAATCCAAGTCATTACACTTTAGCGACTGATTTTTTAGTGTTGTATTGACTATTGTAATAATATCCCTTGGTTGTATTGATTTGCTTTGTTTTTATGTTTAGCATGTTGCTTCCGCGTGCACGTGTTTTAGCACGTCTCCTTTGAAAGAAAAAAGAAAAGTATTTTTTGTCACAGTATTTGTATTCTCCGAAACGACGTTGTGATCATGTTGTGTTACATCGGATATAATTTCGTATCGAACTAGGAGCCATGTCTAACAGACAGGGTCCTTGCCTATAAACATCTGGCAGACCACCAGAAAATTATTCCAGCAAGCCTGACTCTGCTAATGAGACACTGAATGTGAAAACCAGTCCAGACGTTTGCTTGGATTGAACCACTGCTGCTGAAATTGTACACTCCCAGAAAAATGTGTAGCGGATGGGATGCGTAAAATTACTTTACATTTTTTGTGTGTGCGGAGGAACAGATATGGGAATGAGGCGAATTATTCTGCTTTGTTACTGATCATAACATCAGGCTCTTCGA